CCAACAAGGCCCGGGCGGGGCGGGCCCCCCCAGCCACTCCCCCCACCTGGCTTCTGCACGCTACCACAGGCTCCCAGCACCAATCACGGCCCCGCCTCCCAGCCCCTTCCCCCGTCCCCTCCAGGCTTCCGTCCAGCGCCCAACCGGAAAAACAGAAAATACTAGACATTGCACATTTCCGGTATTTTCTGAATTTTTTTTACCGGCCAGAGGGCGCAAAAACCAGACTGTCTGGTAGAAAACCGGACACCTGGCAACCCTAGATGGAGGGTCCAGCCATTCGGGCAGGGTTGGAAGGCCCGGTGCTACGAAGCCCCCGTAAGACTGGGGCTGACGCTGTGATAGAAGAATCCGAGACATGTAGGACCTCGAGACGTCTTCTCATCCAGCCCCTGCTGAGGGCATGATCAAGGAATCCCAGCCCTGAAAGCGAGTTTTGAAGGACTGCGCCAGCCAGCTGAGTGCCGGGGCAGGGTGGGGGGTCACTCTGCTAAGCTCGTTCGCGGGCGTGGCTGGCAGGGAGCAGGGCTGGGCGGGAGCGATCCCGGGGTGCTGCCCGTCCCGCACACGGTGCCAGCAGAGCACACGGGCAAGTCCGGCCCCAGAGCTTCCATCCCGCCCCGACCCCTCCCCACCACTGCGTCGTTGCGAACCACCTGGCTGGAAGACACACCAACGCCGGGTGAGCGTGTCTACTCGCTAGGCAGGACGCAACTACGCACTGATACTCATGAGAATAAAACTTACTTCAATCGAAAATACCCGACATTTTCATGTCCCGTATTTTCTCCATTTGCTTCCCGGACAGAAAGCTCAAATACCAGACTGTCCAGTTCAAAACCGGACACCTGGCAACCCGAGTGGTTGTCCCAACTCATTTCTGCCCTCTCCCGTCTACTTTTCTTCCCCTCTATTTCTCTCCCTGCCTTTGAGTCGGTGTTTCCCTCCTCACTGCAGCAGCCAACCGTCACGCCTCATCTTCACCCCCCTTTTCCCCAGTCCACGGTCGCGTCGGGCGTGTCTGCACCAGGAAGCGATTTCAAAATGGCGACATTCCACTGAAGAACTCCCCATTTAACAAGTGCGAACTGGCGTGTCCTCATGCCGGGGAAGCCTCGAAATGAGTCCGAGGCAGCTCCCTTAACGTGGACGTGTGGGAGCCGCAGGAAGCACCGAGGAGTCATTCGTTTGAATGACTCCGGGGAGTCGTCCACACAGCTGCTATTTCGAAAGAATTACAGGTTGAACCTCTGGTCCAGCACCCTCGGGTCCTGACTGGTCTGAACGAGAGAATTTTCCGGACCACAAGAGAGCAATGTTGTCTAGCAACATGACTAACACTTCCACGGCTTGCCGGGCCGTTAAGCGGATATTTGGGGCAAGGTAGAGCTAAAAACAGCAGAACACTGACAGCAGGAGTGGGGGCTGTCAACAAAGCGTTTGGCACCCCGGGAAACGGGACAAGTGGACATCCGGCTCTCTCCAATCATTCTGGACGATGGATGTTTCCAGACCAGAGAATACTGGACAAACGGGGTTCAACCTATATTTCTAAATGAGCGTTATTCCCCGAGGAAAGCAGAAGCAGAGTTCGAATTAAGCGGCCCGGTATTTCGAAATAATGGGCTTGGTTGTGTGGACGCGCCGCTTATAGATTCCACATAAGAGGGGTTATTTGGAAATAAAATCCGAGTGTAGATCAGGGCTTATTAAATGCTGCCACTTAGCACGGCACTTGTATGCTGGGGAGTTACCGTTTCAATGAAAGGGAGAAGGGTAATTGGATCAGGTCGGGCACAGGCTCATTGATTTGCGGGGGTTACACTTGCTTTGTACCGGGAAGAGTTTCTCTAGACTAGGAGGGGCAAAGAGACTTCTTTTTGTGAGAAACAAAAGCAGAATGTGCACTGAATAAATGCAGCGGTCAGGCTGGCTAACATACACCGCTGTTCTTGCCACACACAACTGGGACCAATAATGAGAATAATTAATGGCCGCGGATTCCTTGCTGCCTATTGTGTTAATGTTTACAATACCCGTAGGACACAGACGGGAACAGGCCAGTGTTTATGTGCGATGCACCAGGCAAAACCACATGTTCTATTAATGGCTGGGAGGCAGAAGAAATGACACTTTTTTGGCATCTTGTTTAATTTATTCCAACTTTATGTAGTTCAGCTTTTCCAAAAGAGAAAAGAAAAAAAAAAAAGCATAATGATTTCTAAACAAAACAGAAGGTACACACTGCAGACCGCAGCAGATGCTCGCTAGCATTACGTGAAAAGCAGAACAAACCCCCTCGGATGTTAACAGAAAACAGGTAGCACCAATTTGTACGACGCCGAGGCTTTGCGCGCGCGCACACGCACACAGACACGCAAATGCACAACCGAGAGGACTCCTGCCCCTCCCTTTTTAATCTCCTTCCTAACCTCCTTTTAATCTCCTCTTCCTCTGCCCCACAGAGGGAGGAGCTGGGGGGTTACTGCCGTGGGTTCAGTGCGTGTTAGTTGCTGATTCCATGGGGCATTTGGATCCCTTCCTGATTATTTTTTTTTCTGGGTGTGACTTAACCCTTGAGGCTTCCTTTGGCCGTGACTGCTCAGCAGCTGCCTTTAAGCCTGCAGCTGTTACTGGTAACGAAGATGCTGTGTGCGTGTATGTGCTCAAGGCAGGGGGATATTTACCAATAGAAGGCACTGGTTCTGTTCTTCTTCTCGCCAAGGGCCAACTTGATCACGAGAAAGTACAGTAAACGGGGCAGCAACTACTGAGAGCAAAAGGAGAAGGGGTCAGTCTGGTCTCACCCTACCCCAGGTTTCAGCAAGCGAGCGGAGGGAACGCCCAGGCCGGGAGTTGTGCGACATTAGAAGCCCCCGCCTTTCATTTCGGCAGGTAAAAACAGGCCCACTTCTGGCCAGATGCAGCCCCTCCGCCAGGTCTCTGGGCAGCACACGGTGCGCTCCACCCCCTCGGCAGCTCCTCCGAGGGACTCGGACGCGCCGGTGGCTGGTTACTGCCCCCCCAGCGCGTCCCTGCATTGCTTCCCCGCGGAGGGACTTGCTGTCTGCTGGAAGGTTTTCCAAAACCCGGTCCATCTTCGGCCTGCCCGTCCACGAGGGCTACTGCTGGCTCCAGCAACTCGGCCAGCTCCCCACTCCTGGCCCACGTGCTCTGCCTTGGCTTCCCAATCCCAGTCCTGCCGGCTCACCAGCACCTGCGAAATGAAACCACTTGCACCCAGGCGCTGCGACTTCCCTGCCCGCGGCAAAAGCGGCTCAGGGGTTTGAGGCAGGGGCGGGCCCCGTCTCCCTCTGAACGTAGACACGTCTTCTAAAAGCCAGGGGTTGTGCTATGGGTCACTGCCCTGCAGCTGTCCCCCGGAGGCAAAGAAAAGCTCGCTGCTTGTTCCCCGCCTCTGGGTGTTTCCTGCAGGAACAAATGACGCGTGTAAAGGAACCGCAGAGACGGCCTCGGCTCCTGAGCCTCAGGGCAAAAGCACCTGCCGCTCCTGGCGTTGTTTATTAAATCTATACGAGAGAGAAAGAATGTGTGCGCGCGCGCCTGTCTCTGAGTGTGTGTGCGCGCGCGCGCCTGTCTGTGTGTGTGCGCACCTGTGTGTGTGCGCGCCTGTGTGTGTGCGCGCGCACGCCTGTCTGTGTGTGTGCGTGCGCGCCTGTGTGTGTGTGCGCACGCGCGCACACGCCTGTCTGTGCGCGTGCGCACACGCCTGTCTGTGCGCGTGCGCACACGCCTGTCTGTGCGCGTGCGCACACGCCTGTCTGTGCGCGTGCGCACACGCCTGTCTGTGCGCGTGCGCACACGCCTGTCTGTGCGCGTGCGCACACGCCTGTCTGTGCGCGTGCGCACACGCCTGTCTGTGCGCGTGCGCACACGCCTGTCTGTGCGCGTGCGCACACGCCTGTCTGTGCGCGTGCGCACACGCCTGTCTGTGCGCGTGCGCACACGCCTGTCTGTGCGCGTGCGCACACGCCTGTCTGTGTGCACGCCTGTCTGTGTGTGTATGCGCACCTGTGTGTGTGTGCATGCCTCTGTGTGCGCACGCTTTTGTGTGCATGCACACCTGTCTGTGTGCGCGCACACATGTCTCTCTGTGTGTGTGTGTGTGTGTGTGTGTGTGCGCGCGCGTGTGTGCAGGGCTTTACAAAGCACTATCTATACTGCACTGAATGGCTGATGCTCCCTGCCCCCTCCGGGGGGCGCT